TATATATATAAAATTTTAATTTTGTAAGACCCATCCACACAATTTGACCCCTTACTCCCCTAGAGTACCATCACCAAACCTTTTAGAAAAAAAAAGAAAGAAAAAGAGAAAAAAAAAAAAAAACAAAAAAAATATACAAAAGAAAAGAAAAGAAACACCACGACTACCCAATATTTTAACAATATGCTCGTTGTTGCTAAAAGCTTGACAACTTTTTTTCGTATGTTTCATTTCCTTACAAAAATGTTCATTTTTCGTTTATTTTCTTGTGTCTTTTTTTCTTTTTTCTTTTTTTCTTTTTCTTTTTTCTTTTTTTTTTTAATCATCATCATTATTTTTATTATTATCGTTTCGTTATAATATTTTCATTTTGTTGGCATGGCTCGCGCCACTTTTTGTTTAAAGAAGCCCCTTCAACCAGCCAAACACCCACCCACCCATCCAGCCTTGTTCAAAGCAAATCAAAAAGCACAAAAAAAAAAGAAAAGAAAAAAACTACAAAAGAAAAAAGAAAGAAATAAAGAAAAAAGAAAAAAAATTGGTTTCGTACAATTGCATAGACTGAAAAAAGTGTGGATGATTAAAATTGAACGATTGAAAAACGACGATTATTAATATCGGTTCGTTCGAACCTTTTGTTTGTTACATTTTCAGGATTCTTTGCTGGGCTTGGTTGGAGTAACGAAAGTATTGGAAACAATCGTCGTGTATCTTCGAGAAATAACAACGTGGATGGGAACGTGCCAGGACCGTTGACACCCCAACGACGTGCTAGGCTACATTGTCCTGGACGACATCATCAAGGAAGGAACAACAATAATCGTTCATTGGGTAATAGCATAACAACAACTTCGGGACACGATCGTCGCCATAATTGCGGTAGATGTGGCAAAAGTTATAAAAATGCTTATATACTTAAAAGACACATATTGTACGAATGCGGCAAAGCACCCTCATTCAGTTGTCCCCATTGCGCGTTCAGCTCGAAATACGAAAGAAATTTAAAAGCCCATATAAATCATCGTCACGTAGACGTCCAATCATCGCAATCGGCTACCGCCCTCAATCAAAGGGCCTGAAGAAGAAAACGTCTGGTTTTTCCTTCGGTTTTTCGCTCTCCGCTCCTTTAAAAAAACAATCCTTTCCTTCCCATCCTAAAAACGTCAAAACTGAAGTGTTTTTTACCGACTGGGATTCATTTATTTCTTTTTTTTTGCTTTGATTTTATGTAGTTTTTTAGGCTGAGAGAGATGTTTATCCGATATTGAAATTCAATCCTCCCCCATTATTGTGATTTTTACAAGATATGTTATATAATACTTCTTTGCTTTTTTCTATTTCTTTCTTTCTTTCCGTAATTTTTACTTCGTTAAAGTTGATTTTTTTTTTATCGTATTCTTATGGTTTCTAGTCTTTTTGGTGAGTGATATAGGGAAATTTATATCGTTTCGTATATTTTGTTTTTCTTTTAATATTTTCTATTTATTTATACGCGGTGCTGAGAATTTGTGCAAAAGCAATCGTAAGATTATAATATAAAATCGGTTTTGTTTTCTTTTATTATTTTTTTTCTTCTTTTGTTATTTTTATATATTCTTCCCCTAAAGAGAGAAAAGAATCTTGTTAGGAATATATATATATTTAATCTATTATTTTTTTTTTCTAACCCCTAACTAGTCTTCCCTCGTTTCGTTATTTAACGAACTATTACCAAATAAATGATATACACGTATAAATACAGGTAAACGAAAAATTAATGAAATGATTATACAAATTAATTATCCCCATAGTCGAGATCTTTTGAATTATCTTTTTTTTTTATCTATTCGCAAGAACGAAACAAAGAAAACAAATGGTTTATTTAAAATATCTCGATAAATGGTAATTAATTTTTATTGTTGAAATCCATTAGAAATTTTTGGTTATATTTATTTCCTGTATATATATATTAATCAAACGTACGTAACACACTCTTCCGATTAGAATAATTATCTTATATAAGTTAGATACATATAATATTATTTATCGATTTTCCATTAACATTCTTTTATCCTCGAGTTTTAAACAAAACGAAAAGAAAAAAAAAAAAAAAAAAAAGAAAATATATTTACAAGTAATAATATATAATAATATAATGAAATTAAATGAAATCTCGTTGTGCCATACGACGAAGTCGTTTTATCGATAATAGGACGTTTCAAACGGGTGTAGCCGTAGTGATGTATCTCTGTGTATATTAAAATATATTTAATAAAAAAAAAAATATATATATATATACATATAAATGAAAAATGACAAAAAAAGAGAAGCAAGAAAAGTATTACCAATATCGCAAAAAATTACGAACCCCCGTATCATCACGCGGTTTCAGTGGTGATAAGTAAAAATGGGGAAAGAAATTTAAAAAAGAAGAAAAAAAGATAAGTAAAGTAAAAAAGAAAGAATAAAAGAAAGAAAGAAAAATAATAAATATAATATAAGTAATTTTCAAGTAGTATATACTCTCTATATTGTGACAATATTAAATATATATATATATATAATTGAAATTGCAATTATATGCAATTTATTATTCGCTTAGCGATTTTTGCTTCGTAATACGTTATTTAATCGTATATAGCATACAAATACACTCATACATATGTACACTTACGAACACAAACACACATACACATATACACACAAATTTATTTAAATATAATAATAAACATTGTGAGATATTAAAAAAAAAGACAAAAGAAAATAAAAATCACTGTGTCGATACATACGTAAAAAAAGAAAGAGAAAAAATGAATAAAATGGGGGAACGAAAGAATGTAAAAAAAAATACGAAGGAAAAAGTTGGGGAAAAATAACTCGACCCCATAAACCCGATAAATGACGAATCAAAATCGAAAATTAATGGGAAAGAAAAAAAAGGAAAAAAAGAAAAAAAAGAAAGAAAAAGGAAAAAAAAAAGAAGAAGAAGAAGAATTTAAGGATCCAGCCATATTGAAAAAAAAAGTGGCGATAATAACTTTTTAAATTAGCCGTTGTTGTTGGATTTATTTAAAACGCGATATTTAGAAACGATTAGGGGGATTGTAAGCGATAAATATATATAACATAACTATTATTATCGCATTGTTAAATATTTTAATAGATTTTTGAATTAGAATAACTCGAGAGCGGTGGAGAAGAAGAGGGGATAGGAGGAGATGCGAAAGTTTTTCTTTTTTTTTTTTTTTTCGTTTCATTATAACATGTTCGATTCGTTTCATTCGTATATTAATTAAAATTTAGTCAAGATATTTATTAAATTTATGCGTGGGTAAAAAAGGGAAGGAAGAAAAAATTGATTTTTAAAAAAAAAAAAAAAAAAAGGAAAAAAAAAAGAAAACTCGTTCGATTGCATTTAATTTTGGAATTAATTTTGTCGATGTATTTTATTGTTTTATTTTTTTGCGGATAGAACAAAAAAAAAATGGCTAAATCTCCTCCCCTCCATCCCGAGAATTTGTTTCGTATCCGGAACAACGTAATATGGGATAGATAGAAAAATTTTAACGAGTTCCGATTATTTTTCTACTAATTGTAAATGACTTTAACGATAAGTGCGCGATGATCTCACGTAAAAAAAAAAAAAAAAGGAAAAGAAACAAAACGAACGAAAGAAAGATGAACGATAATAAAATGCATAATGGGATCGTTGTTTAAAACAAAAACAAAAACAAAAAAAAGGAAAAAAAAAGAAACAATAAAAAAAAGGCGAATTCGTCTCGTAATTTCAATTCGAAGCAACGAATCCGAACGAATCCTGTTTCCAAATATTACGCGATTAATATTACCTTGACATTATTATACATATATATATATACATTTCCCCCCCCCACTTTAGCTCTCTAGCAAAACCGTAAATTTAAGAAATACTCTCGTAATTAAGAAAAAGAAAAAAAAATGGAACAAAATTCGAGATGTGAAAGAAAAAAGAGAAAATAAATAAATAAAAAAAAAACAAAAAAAGATACAAATACAATGGAAACTAATAAAAAATGAATCTAAAATGGAAACCCAATGACACGTCACGAATAATTCAAAAATGCAAACGCTATATAAATAAAACAAGAAAAATATCTAGTCATAGGAAATAAATGTAAAAAAACAAAAGGATTACGCGATCAGAACAGAAAATAGGATAATATTAACAGGAAATAAAATAAAAATTTACACAACAAATAGATCTAAGAATAATGAAAAGAAAAGAAGAAGGAGAAAAAAAAATACATAGAAAAAAAAAATTAAAAAATATAATATCTTTTTAATTATTATTATTATTATTATTATTATATTTTGTTCGAATAAAAATATTTCGTGAGAGACGATGAAATTTAATGAACAAAAGAAATTAGCTGTGAATAATAAAAAAATAGCTTTCGCGTATTATTGTTTAATTTATAATTATTAACAATTAATAACGTGTAGAATCGTCTAGTCTTGATAGCTGGCCTAAGCCGGCCACGATTTATTATTATAAACGTAGTTTATTGAAAATAGAGAATAACTATATTTGAATCAAAAGATTTCATATATATATATATAAATAAATAAATAATATAAATGTATACATAATACATATACATACTTATCTTATATAACGCATTAATATAACAAAAAAAGAAATGGACAAGAAAATCGTAAATCGTACGCCAATGGTGTTGTTATAAAAGAAAAGAGTAAATAAATAAATAAATAAATGAATATTCTCATATAATTGTGACAGTGAGTACTGTCAAAAATGATATGGTTAAAATTTATTTGCTATAATTTATTTCAATCAAATTAATTATTCTAATTCTGTATGACTCAGTTCTCTCTGTCATAATTATTGGCAGGTAAATAAAAAAAGGAGAATAAAGAAAAATAAATAAATAAAAATTGAAAAACAAAGAAAAAGATAAAAGGGAAAAAAAAATAAAAGAAGAAGTGAAAATAAAATAAGAGAAATATGGATAATAATTTATTAATTATTTAATTAATAACGTGTGTGTCTTTCCAAAGCTTGGCCGAGAGTGAAGATATAATTTAATAATAATAATAATAATAATAATAATAATCATAATAATAATATAAATCAAAATAAATGGAACAAATATAAATGCAAGCTTTGAAAGAAAAAGAATTTTCTTTTAAACGAAGAGAAAAAAAGCGTAAAAATTAAAAATTAAAAAATACACACGCATAATACGATAAACATTAATTTGTTAAACTTAATCTCAACGTTAAAATAATAAAGATATGATATCAATCGAAGGGAATAATTAGTGAGAGAGAAATGAAAGAGAAAAATTTGAGACCCATTGTATACACACATATATACATATAAATATGTATATACATGTATATATACATATACTCGCTTATATAATATTCCACATTAATAAATTAAATATTAATTTTTCTCGAGAGCCCAACGAATAATTTCGAGACATTGTACTCGATCAAGGACCAAAGATAAAGATAAAAGATAAAAATGAAGATGATGAGGACTCGTATTTAAAAGAAAAAAAAAACAAAAACAAAAAATAAGAATAAAGTGAAATAAAATAAAAGAGAAAGAGATCAAAAGATAAAGCAAAAGAAAGAAAAAAAAGGGGGGGAAAAAAATAAAAAAAAACGCATTAAACAAATAATACAATAATGAATAAAATTAAAAGAGCAAATTTTTATTCTTGTCACTTGGAAGAAAATGAACACACACATACATTACAGATGATACGTATTTAATGTATTAACACACGTATTTCCTCTCGGCCGATAATAAATCAGCAAATGAAAAGAAAAAAAAAAAAAAGAAGAAAAAAGAAAAAAATGAAAAAATATAGAAAAGGGTGAATCGAAGACAACAACAACAACAACAACAAAAATAACGAACTAGCTCGTTATAGATGCGTCGTAAAATAAATTAAAAAGAAAATAAGATAAGACGCAAACCTAATGCAATAATTTTTGTTCTAGCTTGCTACGTCTAGATAAAAAATATTCAACAAAAATACTCTCGTATTTTCTAAAACATACAAACATACACACAAATACACGCCCTTGCTTCTTACCTTTCTCTCTCTATCTATCTATCTATCTATCTATCTATCTATCTATCTATTTATCTATCTCTTTCTTATTCTAGTATTTTTTAAATATTTATCTTTCTAAATTTATTTCTCTCTTTCTTGCACTAACTCTTTCTCTCTCTCTCTCTCTCTTTCTCTCTCTTTTTCTATCTTTCTTTAGTTTAACAAAAATATTGATATTATTTTTAAGAAATATATCTTTATTTTTGTTTAATGTATTACAAGTCTGATATAGCAAAACGTTTATTTTTCTAATTTTAATTAGAATAGCATGGCAATGATTTTTTCGAATTTTATACTTTTTTAATTTTTAATTTTTTTTTTCTTCGTTTTTGTTAGTTTTTTTTTTGTTTTTTTGTTAAAAAAACATTCGTTCGGATGGAAGAACGAACTCGCGTTGCCAATGAAATAATTATTATCAAATAATCATACGCGTTATATTAAATTTTTCTTTGAATTAGAAAAATTCATAGAATTAATATATATAAACGAGATAAGAGATTTACTTTGTAATAATAAAAGTGTGAACACAATTATTGAAATCGATAATTTCGAATATCATTTTCTCTCACTTTCATTCACTCTCTCTCTCTCTCTCTCTCACTCTCTCTCGCTCTCTCTCTTTCTCTCTCTCCCTCTCTCTCTTTCTCTTTCTCTCTGTTTCTCTCTATCTGTCTCTCTCTTCTTCTCCCTAAATACGTGATAAGTGTTTTTCTTCTAAAATAAAAAAAAGAAAAAAGATTTGTTTGTTTTCTTTTGCAAAAATTCCGCGACGTTAAAATGTTAAACTTGTGAACAGTGCCAAAGAGAGATAGACGACGAACAATATTTTTCGTGTCTTTTTTTTTTATTATTATTATTATTAAATGTAAGAGTATCGCGGTGTCTCCGAATGTGCCTAAAAAAAAAAAAAAAAATAATAAAATAAAATAAAATAAGAAAAACAAGAGAAGTATATAGAAATAACAAGAAGAACAAACAACACACGACAAATAAAAAATGATCGCGCGAAATTTAATAATGCGAAAATATGAAAAGAATTAAGGAAAAGGCGTGTTCGATATGAAATTAAAAGAAAACAAAAAATGGTGTCGCACGTTAGATTTTTGATTTTTTTTTGTTTTAATTCTTCCTTGTGATAAAAATAATTTTTTATACTTTCCCAATGTGATTATTTCTCCTGATATCATATAAATAAATAATTAAATAAATAAACGATCGTGTATATACATATATTAGCGTGCGTTTTTAAATTACACGTCAACGTTGGTATCAAACACGTTAAAGTTTGAAACCGAAAAACAAAAATAAAAGAAACAGGTCTTCCAAATAAATCTCAAGCCAAACATTATTAATTTTTTTTTCGTCCCCCCATTAATAAAACTGAGGAGAAATAGAGGAGTAGGGTTGTTAGGAATCTACGGGGTTGGAAGGGGGAGAGGGATGGGGGAAGGTTTGAGGGAGATTGAAAAAGAGTCGAGAGTGTTCATTGGAACGGGATTTTGTTGTTTAAAAAAAAAAAACAACAAAAAGAGAGAAGAAATGAAGTAATTGTTTAACCGTTATATATTATTATCATTATAATCAAAAATAAATGAACAAGAAGATAAAGTATTTTCATTGAAATTTAAAACTGAAAAAAAAAAAAAAGAAAAAACGAACAAATTTGATTAATTTGCGCGTAAAAAAAATTCACTAACAAGGAACATTAAGACTGAGTAAGAAAAAGAAATTGCGAGAAGTGTGTGAGAGAGAGATATTAATAATTAATTAATTACGATATGTATGCGTATTTACGTGTTAATTATCATCGACAGATATTTTTGTGCCAATATTACA